GCTCACTGCAAGCTCCGCCTCCCGGGTTCACGCCATTCTCCTGCCTCAGCCTCCCGAGTGGCTGGGACTACAGGCGCCCGCGACCGCGCCCGGCTAGCTTTTTTTGTATTTTTTTTTAGGAGAGACGGGGTTTCACCAGTCCTGGGGGTTTAGCCAGGATGGTCTCGATCTCCTGACCTTGTGATCTGCCCGTCTCAGCCTCCCAAAATGCTGGGATTCCAGGCTTGAGCCACCGCGCCCGGCCAGCCTCAACTTCTTTATCCAGAAAATGAGAATGATAATGACAACTAGTGTTATATAAGATATAAATGTAAGAATGTATGTGGAATACATAGCATATGGCTTAGTACACTGCGCTCAGTAAAGGATAATGATTCTTATTCATGAATGACAGCTAAAGAAGCAATAAAGCACCAGAGAGTGATGTCATTTTTCCTGTTTGAAAATAAGAATTTTGCTTTTCTTTGGCAAAGTAAGAGTTTTGCCTGTTCTTTATTTCTTTGAAAAGAAAGACTTCACATTTCTATTGCTTCATCACTTAGACTGAAAGACAACTTCACCATCAAATTCTTTGGTTTGGTTTTTCAAGAGAGACTTCATTTTGAACAGAACTGCTTAATTACACTGCCAACTTAAAAAAGCAAGTTGTTTCTAAGTTTGGTGGATTTATTGGCATTGTTTTTTCATTCAGATATTTCTCAGTGCCAAATCTCACTCTAAGAAAAAAATAATTCAGCACACCATACTCTATGTAACCTCTACTTACACTACTTCATAGTAGCTGTAAGAAAGAATTTTTTTTTTTTTTTAAGACCTATGTCTTCAGCCAGGAAATATGTGATTAGAACTTAATTGGGAGCTGGCTTTTCTAGTTGGAACCGGGCTATCTTTGAACCAGTAGTAAATTACTTGTTGAAAGTATCTGTTCAAAGTAGCAAAGTGTTTATTCATATGGAGATAGGTATTAAAAAATGTCTAAGTTGTATATATTTGCTCTAAGTTTTGTTTGCATTCTTCATTAAATAGAAATATGACTTACATAATGTTTGTATCCATATATAGACACATAGCAGAACTAACCAATTCTTAAGGATTAGGTTACACCAATCTAACATTTAGGGAATAAAGCACCTGCCTTCATTATTTGGTAAGACCTCAAAATTTCTAATAAAACAGACAATATAAATACCATGACACAAATATCAGGTGAAAGGCCTAATGTGAGGGCCAATGAATATGGGAAGGGATCTGGGCCTCATATGGTTTGGAAATCCTCAGAATTTGTCCACAAAAATTACATGTATATCTATGTGTATAAATGGTCATTTATCTGAACATTTTCATAGTTTCATCAAGGAAGACACAAAGGATGGTAAGAACCAAGGCATTGGGTGGACCTGATACTTTCATTGCCACCAGTCAATTCTTTAAGGACTAGTTACTGGAGGAAGTATAAGATAAACCTAGAAATGGGCCACCAGCACACATTAGGATGGTGCACACATGAGCTGGTGGTCTCCTGCTGCCCGTTTCAGAGGTGGATATGGCTGGTCATAGATGGAGGAAGCAGAATTTGAAAGAAGCAACATGGCAGACCTCCACACCAGATTTCTCAAGCGGTGGGATGTTGAGTGTGGGGTTGTATTTTCCTGTATCAAAGGAGAAAAGTGACAGAAGCATGAGTGTTCTAACGTTTTTATTTCAGCAAAGCAAAGATAAAATCAGGACTTTCTTTGCTCCTGGGCCTGGACCTCTTTTAAGAGTTACTCTCTGGATGGAAGACTCTAGGGATGCTGAAAGCAAGACTCAGAGGCCCCAGGCAAGAGAGCTGGCTAGGGCTGACTAGGGTTAGCTGACTGCTAGCTTGCATAGAGTTGAATTGCAATAAATTCTGTGAGATGTGTCTTATGGTTGCTGTAGGCAGAGTATGTTTCTCTAGACAGCGTCCAGTCTAGTTAGCGCTGCGCTTTAAACTTCCCAGCCTGCGCCTCGAATTTTGCTGCTGCAGTAGTAGGACCACATCTTTCTAGCATGGGACTAGGCTCCTCGAGGATTCATTTTTCTTTGGTTCCTCCGCAGCAGCTCACCGCTAGGATCTGGCTTTGTGTCGGCTCACAGAATTCATTTCAGTTCCAGAGTTATTCTCCACTTACTTATTCTCCACTTACTCAGCTTCTGCTGAACGTACACGTGCGTGGAATTGATAAGGGGACCACATTAATTCGCAGTTTTAGTGCCCGGTAGTCAAACCGGAGCTTATTTCTACTCAACTAAGTTTTGCTGCGCTTAATCCATCTCCACCATTTCCCTCCGCTACTGATTCCCGCCCTGCTCCTCCCCTGTCTGCTGAATTTTCCCCCAAAACTTGCCGGGAGGTTCCTTCTAGCGCTGCTGGGGACTGCAGAGCTGGCGCTTGGACCTTACCCAGCGGCCCCTACTCCGAAGGAGTGACCCAGGCACAGGCGACTTTAGAGGGTCTCTTTCTCTCTTGGGTGTTTCACACACATGCGCCTCTGTGCAAACACTTGTGTTTTATGTGTTTTAAAGTGAAAAGGGAATACTTGAAATGCGGAAGTCAGGTTAAGGAAATTGGGTTCTTCACTGAACTCTGCCAAGATCCGGTCAATATGATGGCGGTGTGTGTTTATGCAGCTCTTTACCAAAGAGGGTAAAATCAAACTCTGCCCACAAGTGGCGGATTCCTCTGGGAGTCTGGGACTCTGCGAAGCAGTGGAGGCATGGCTGGAGAAAGCCACAGGTCCCCAAACCGCTAAAGCCAAAAACCGTGTGGGGAACAAGTTTTGTTTTGTTTTTTTTTTCTCTTCCCATGCTCCTGAGCAGAAATTAAAAGAGGAAAGGTCGCATGGAGCTGGTTACATTCCTATCGGCCTTCCCCCGCTTCCCATCCGTTTAACAGTTCTCTCTAATCGTTTCCAGTTCTCCTAGGATAACGGGAAAATTGTTTCCTGGCACCCCGCACTCCCACAGGACACACCCGCAATCGTGCACACTTTTGATCCATCCTGGCCAAGGCCCCCACCTAGCGGTTTAAACTCGCCGGCTTTGCTTCCCTCTCCTATGGTTTCTAAGTGAGCGCTGCAGTTTGCAAAAATAATTGTTTATCTAGGTGGATGGGGTGGGAGGATGGGAAGGATCCCCTAAAATGTGGTGAAAATGAGACTTAAGGTTAGTGGCAAAATGCTAGGTGCTAGGACTGGAGGAGAAAAAGAGAGAAGGCAGTGCTTTTATCCTCAGGATGGCTGCTGCAGCCCAGAACGCATCTAGAGGACGTCCTTGAAGAGCTGCTACCTTAGTTAAAGGAGTACCCTCACTCTCAATGCATGGATACGTGTGTGTGTTTCTTCATAACACTTACACTACAGAAAAGTATAAGTATTAATTATTTACTTGTTCATGTAGTTATTGTCTGTCTCTTCTACAATGTAAACTGCTGGAAAAGAGGGTCTGAGTCTACTCCCACTGGCCTCCATACCTCTGGAGCCTACAAAAAATATTCAGCATAGAGTAGGCACTCTATTTTTTGTCTGCCTGCCTGGTTTAGAGAACCGGGAATTAAGGGAACTTGGGTTTCTGCTTTATTGCGTTGGAGAAAAAGCTCTTCTTTCAAAGAATCTTAATTACTCTTCCTCTAAAACTGGGTGGAGGGATCAGATCAGATAACCTTAAGTTCTGACACAGAATGATTCTCTTTAAAATATATGTGCGCTTAATCAGATGAGTTCAATTACAATGCAGTTTTTATTAGATACACTCTAGGTGCCAAAGATGGATCTAGGCTCTAGGAATTCGTAGTGGGGATCATTTAATCCTTCGAGCTGAAAATACCTTGTCCTTTCCTGGAGCTTTTCTTCACACTTTCTGATTTGCATTTCTACGCTACATTTGTTTCTGTTGAGGTTAGAGGAGAAACTGAGGACAGGGGATCGGTCCCTGGTCATGAGACCTTGGTACTGGTATTGCATGCTGCAGCTTATGGCTGACATCCCCACATACTAGTTGAAGGCAAAGGAGACACACAAGACGGTGCTGTTGATGGTTCCAGTCCTCCCCGCCGCGGTATCCCCCTTTTTTCTTGAATTCTGATGGCCTCCTTTCTAGGTGGGCTGTTGGAAGGAACATGCTCACTGGCAACTGTTTTCCAGAGGCACTGAAGCACTGAACAGCTGGAACAGGAGGGTGGAGCAGAAGGTTTAATTTCACGTACAGTTGGCTTCTGTTTGTGATACTTCTACATTTTCTCAGATAGCTTTTTCTTTTTCCCTGTTGACTCACAGTTGAGTGAAAAACACAAATTGCTAAAACTTGATGAAAAAATAGTTTTTATTGTATCAGGAGTTGAGGACGACATGAAGCCAGAGGCTCAAAGTACAAAATGCAAACATTGGGTCCTCTACAGAGATATTACTGATGCCTGCCTCCTAATCTGGGTGTGGCCCTCAGGGCTGGATACGATTTTAGAGCGGAGAGGTCAGAGACCAGGGCTTCTCCGCCTAAAACTGGCCTTCTAGGGTGGGAGTGGTAGGCGGGAGCCTAGGACCAGACTCCTGGACTAAGCCTGGGATCGTGGCTAAGGACATGGGTCTCACTGGAGGTCAGCGCAGCAAGCGCCGATGTCCGCAGAGGCGAGAACAGGACGCTCTCCTCCCCTGGCCAGAAATGCGGCTCCAGGTTGTCAGGGCTGGGAGGGGGGCCCGGGGTGGGAAGCGGGGAGATAGGGCGGTAGGACCCGGCGGGAGCTTCCTTGGCCAGGAAGGGAACGGGGCGGGGGGAAAAGAGGGAGGGAGAGAGAAAAAGAGAAGGTGATCGCGAGCCGGAGTCAGCACTCGCCGCGCCGCACGAGTTGCACTGCTCTGGCGGACCGGACCTGGACTCTATATAAGGAGCCCATCTGCTCCGTAGCTCGCACGCTCCTCCCGGGCTGGCGCACGCCGCGTCCCTCCAGCTTCCCCAGACACCTGCCCCTTCCCCGTGTGCCGCGCCAGGTCCTCCAGACCCGCGCACCCAGTGGCATGGCTCCGAGTGGTTCCCGTGGGACCGAGGTGGCGGTGGTGGCCACGCGGCCCGAGCAGCCGCAACTCCAGCCCCATTGTCCCCCCTTTTATGGCTCCGTCTCCGCGGGGCCGCTCGTCCGAGTGGCCAGAGAGTGAAAAGAGAGGGAGGGCAGAGCTCCGGCGCGAGGCGCGGCTCAGCGCTGCTCCTAGACTTCACCGCACCCAGCTCTGGCGGCCGCTGCAGCCTCAAAAAAGTGCCCCAGCTTGGGGCGAGGGGCGGGAATGCAAGATCGGGACCTCTCGCTGGCCTGCAAGCTTTGGTCTCCACACCTAGGAAACTCCTGTGGGCAAAGTCTGCAGATCCAAGAGCGTCCAGGTTAGGAGACGCTCAGCCTCAAGCAACTGGGGTAAGCCAGATCCCATTTGGTCAAAGCCTTCTCCTCAAGCAGTACTTCACCCTCCGGCACTAGACGCCTCCAGGGAGCTGAAGCGGGGCAGGGCTCGGTGGGCTAGTTCTTAGCAACCCAGGGCTAAGACCCGGTATGGAGAGGAACAACCACAGACGCGGCGTCTTTGCCAGGCGCTCTGGAAGTGCAGGGGACGCGCCCGCCTGCCTCGGCTGCCGCACCCATGACCTCTAGTTTCAGCTGTGAACCTGGGCGGAGGAATAATTGAGGAACTCACGGAACTATCAACTGGGGACAAACCTGCGATCGCCACGGTCCTTCCGCCCTCTCCTTCGTCCGCTCCATGCAAAAGAGCTGCGCTCTGGGGCTGGGGCGAGGAGAACCATGGAGGAACCGGGTACTCAGTGCGCTCCACCGCGGCCCGCGGGCTCGGAGACCTGGGCTCCTCAAGCCAACCTATCCTCTGCTCCCTCCCAAAACTGCAGCACCAAGGACTATATTTACCAGGACTCCATCGCCCTACCCTGGAAAGTACTGCTGGTTATGCTACTGGCGCTCATCACCTTGGCCACCACGCTCTCCAATGCCTTTGTGATTGCCACAGTGTACCGGACCCGGAAGCTGCACACCCCGGCTAACTACCTGATCGCCTCTCTGGCGGTCACCGACCTGCTCGTGTCCATCCTGGTGATGCCCGTCAGCACCATGTACACTGTCACCGGCCGCTGGACACTGGGCCAGGTGGTCTGTGACTTCTGGCTGTCGTCGGACATCACCTGTTGCACTGCCTCCATCCTGCACCTCTGTGTCATCGCCCTGGACCGCTACTGGGCAATCACGGACGCTGTGGAGTACTCAGCTAAAAGGACTCCCAAGAGGGCGGCGGTCATGATCGCGCTGGTGTGGGTCTTCTCCATCTCTATCTCGCTGCCGCCCTTCTTCTGGCGTCAGGCCAAGGCCGAAGAGGAGGTGTCGGACTGCGTGGTGAACACCGACCACATCCTCTACACGGTCTACTCCACGGTGGGTGCTTTCTACTTTCCCACCCTGCTCCTCATCGCCCTCTATGGCCGCATCTACGTGGAAGCCCGCTCCCGGATTTTGAAACAGACGCCCAACAGGACCGGCAAGCGCTTGACCCGAGCCCAGCTGATAACGGACTCTCCCGGGTCCACGTCCTCGGTCACCTCTATTAACTCGCGGGTTCCCGACGTGCCCAGCGAATCCGGGTCTCCTGTGTACGTGAACCAAGTCAAAGTGCGAGTCTCCGACGCCCTGCTGGAAAGGAAGAAACTCATGGCCGCTAGGGAGCGCAAAGCCACCAAGACCCTGGGGATCATTTTGGGAGCCTTTATTGTGTGTTGGCTGCCCTTCTTCATCATATCCCTAGTGCTGCCTATCTGCAAAGATGCCTGCTGGTTCCACCTAGCCATCTTTGACTTCTTCACCTGGCTGGGCTATCTCAACTCCCTCATTAACCCCATAATCTATACCATGTCCAATGAGGACTTTAAACAAGCGTTCCATAAACTGATACGTTTTAAGTGCACGAGTTGACTTGCCAATTGCAGTGGGGTCGCCTAAGCGACCTTTGGGGACCAAGTTGTGTCTGGTTCCACAGGTAGGTCGAATCTTCTTTCGCGGTTACTGGGTCCCAGCGAGGCTGTCTCTCCTGGGCAAGGGCAATGGATCCTGAGAAGCCAGGATAGTCCTGAGAGAGAGCTCTGAAAGGAGAAGTGTTGAAACTAAACGTAGAGCTTCCCTGCCCAGGAGGAGGCTCACTTCCTCCCCCTCAAGCCTCGGGCTCAGCACTGACCCCTGCGGCAGCCAATCCCAAAGGGGATTGCAACTTTTAAAAATTGATTATGGAAGGGAATCCCTGCCCTGCTTTGGTATCATGGATAATGCCCACTAGAACCAGTGTATTTGTAATTGTTGTCTGAAGCTTGTCTGAGACAGATCTACATACAGCCTGGCAGTACTTGAACTAGACGCTTAATGCCCTGTGTTTTTGGGGAGAACTTTGTGTTACAGCTTAATTTAAGAACAGTTACTTTGGCATCATTCAGTCTTCAGTTTTTGTCTATTTAAACTTGGTTGGAGAAACTTGTGGATTTGGTGCTTCAAACCCTATGAGTGGCTTGGATGGCGCAGAGAAACCTTGAAGAGTTAACAGCAAAATTCTGATGCTGAGATCTCTATTTTTATTATACTTGAAACTATATGGGGGTGGGTGGGTGGGAATGGGAGATGAGAGTGTTAAACTGAGAATCAACACCTATGATTGTTTGTTTTCTGCAGATTTGTAATTTTGTAATTCTTGTTTAGCGATGGTCAAACCACAGCTCTAACAAACAAACCATTATGTGTGCTAGTGCCAAAGTCTGCAGACTGCTTTTTTTTTCTCCTAATTTCATGTACCTGTCACTTTACACATTTAAATCCCCAGAAATGAAGGGTATGATGGGTGACTCAGCCCACACTGCTGCTATATTTCTTACTAATGCAATTGGTAAAACCGATTAGTATTGGAGATATATTGTTCCTTAACAAGAAAAGTGTCTTTATTTCTTATCCAATTGAGTGAGATGTGAAGGAGACTGATGACATGGGACTAGTTCTTACACAATTGAGGAATGGGGTGGGGGTAATAGAAGGATGTATATTTTGACTTGTAAAAAAATCTTAAAATGCATGAGACTTTTATCTGATAGTCATTTGCACTCTCCTTCCCATCTGTGATTCCTTGTGTGCTAACATATAAGGAAACCAAGAGAACTATCTCCCTTCTTCAGAAACCTTTAAAATACAGTAAGGGCTCTAAAAACGATACTGGAAAGAAAATAAACTTGTTTCTTTTTCCATTGTTGCTGTTATTGAAGTTTGGGCAGGAGAAAAGATTGCTAGAAAATGACATACAAGAACTTTAGAAAAGCTTAGTGAAGCTAAAATTGAGGCCTTTTTTTTTTTTTTTTTTTTTTTTTAACTTGCAGAACCAAACCTCAGACTTACTAAACAATCAGGAAACTGGCAAGCTTTTGACCTTTGTATATTCGTTACCAACCTGATATCTCAATGAATGTAATATCTGGAATACTTAAAATTTATCAATCTTTTCAAATTTCAAGAATACTTAGTTATTTCAAATTTCCTCTGAGAGCTCCCTAATACAGGATAAAGTCATGCAATAAAATATGAAAAAAAAATGTATATTTTAATAAGAAGTAGCCCTGAGGGATTATCTGCATGAAAAAAAATGTATATGCACAGCATTTAACATGCCAAAGAAAATTCACACTCCTTTTCTCAGAAGGCATTCTGCAGTTGATACCTTTTGTCTGCAGAAGCAAGTTGTCTTTGTGAAATGGATTCACTCCTTGCTTGAAGCTCCCCGGTCCTGTTTGTCAGACAATAAATGTATTGAACTGAAGCACACTGCTTGCCTACTGTGCAGACCTTCACCTTGGGTAATCACTCTTGAAAATATACTATTCAAAGATTCACACATAAGCTAACTAAAAAGGGGAATTTTGATCAATATTTATACCTGTCACTGGTGTGAGAGAAAATTTTAGGCATTAGATATGCCTGTACTTCTGCTGGATCCCCAAGTTTGTTTGTTTGTTTTTTGTGACATTTCTCCTATGGAGGAATGTGCATAGAGCATGGTGTTTGTTTTTATGTTATTAATACTGTGGTCTTCTGTTTATACAGCTGTATTTTCTTTGATCCTAAGAGGCAATTAAGTCAACTTCTAAGAGCCTTAGGGGGAAACATTAGTTGAAACAAATAGCCACTTACAAATGATTTCTTTATAGGGTACCTGTATTGATGGTGTCCTCACATTAACAAAACACAATCAGTTTAGTTGAATGGGTTGTTTGCCATTTTGTAGATTAACCACCTAAATTATTGCTTGACTATTTGGCTGTATTGCCTGGATTTGGGGCATATTGTATGAAATAGAAGCTTGCAAACCCTTATAGTTATAAGAGATATAGAATCATCATTCAGCATTGCACATGATTATGCAAAGTGTATTATTCATCCCAGGGGTATGTAGTTAAGACTGTTAAGCTCCTTTTCAGTTACTGCTGCCTATAGCATAGTTTATTTCATAAACTAGACACGTGGCTTTTTTGCAGAACATAAAGCGGGAGATGGAAATGTTTAACTTACATGGCAATGAAAATATATTTTCATTGGCTATGGTAACAAACATTTTCCATATTGTTTAATTGCACAAATTTTCACAGAAATATATGAATGTATACTCATTCAATAATATCAATATTGTCTTGTGTTTCTAGGAATTTTAGCGTTTCCTTTGAAAAATGGACACTACACCTATGAATGAATGTTTATTGAGTTCAACAAATTTTCTAAAGAACAATATTCTTAATTTTTCGTCTCTATTATCTTAGTTTTGTCTTCTTTAACCAGGAAACCCTGAGAAGATTATAATTCACTGAAGCAGTAAAATATCAGATTATGTGTATTTGATGGAGTTGCTGTGACTGAAAATTGCCTTTGATATTCCACCTTTCAGGAAATGTATCATTGGAAATGAAATTTAGGAAAATAAATAAAAGTCCTTTTGTGTTCTAAAAAGTGTCGGGTAGTAGTTCTATTATTATGGAAAAATTGGTTCCTTGGATTCTGGGGTTGTGTTTAGGAGTCTGAGCCTTCACTGGAGAATGATTAATAGTAAATGATACTGTGGCTGACTAATACGTGCTGCCATGACTTGGGGGATTTAGTTTATATCTGAAGGAAGAATTTGAAAGGAAATAAATGGATTGTGCTTTCATATTCTGCAAAGAGAGAGGGTTAGATCCACTATCACAAGAGTTTTCCAGATTAGTTTTCAGAGGAGACCTTTAGTCTCTAGGCTAGGCAGTCAGATTCCAAGGGCTGTCTGGTGCTTAAAATACAGAAGGAGGAACTGGGTTAGAAGAAGACTTCAGAGGAGTAGACTGACCTATCTTAAGACCAGTAAAGTAGGCAGAAAGGTAGCTTTTGTAGTCAGTCCTAGGTTTGAATTGCAAATAAAGTATGTTAGAACTATGTGGTTCTTCTTCTCAAATACCATCTACCTACAAGTTGATGTAAAGTCTTAGAACCTATACACGTAAAGCACTTATTGAGATGCGTGACACTTTTTTGACTCTCAGCAGACTGAACTTCCTCTTAGTCATTATTTCCCATTGTCTCCTTTGTGGATGCAGAGTGCCTGTAGCACAGAACAGGGGTACTTGGGAGAAGTTGGACTGGAGAAGATCAAACCAGCCTGAATGGGAAAAATTTGGCAAAAACTAGAAGTGGCTGAAGTTTACAGCCTTTTACAACTAATCCCCTATGCAGGTGACATACAACCCAAAGAACCAAAGGGAACTTGAAGGATGGTTTGCAGTGGCTCTATTGGCCAAGAAGAAATTGCCAAGTATTTAATTATTTCTTACAGCGTCCTTTTATTCACTTTTAAACTCTCTTCCTCTTCCTTGTCTAGAGATTTCTGGCTGTCTTTAGAGAATCCAAAGTCCCTGGCCACATCCACATTTTTAATTTGCAGCACCTCGTTTTTCACTTCTCTGCTTTTTTCTTACCTGTATCAAATCATGATAACCAATAATGATGTCTGTGGTTCTTGTTTTAGCTGTGAAGGGCTGATTAGGTAACTAAGGGTTTTCACATTACATAAAAGGGAATTGTTGAACCAAACGAATGTGTAATTGGTGGGAATAAAAGCTTTCAACTGGGGCGTCTACTCGAGTCTTCTAAAGGAAAGAGGTTGGTAGAGGAAGGGTGGGAGAAGGGAAGCCTGCACTGTTCATCGAAACCCACCCTGGAACAGTCCACCAGGGGGCAGAGTGTCTCTGAGATGTTTAGCAGAAGCAGGCACAGACCATTCAGGATCTCTAAATCCCTCTTCCAGGACATTTTGCAACTGATATTAACGCCTCTAGACTCAGTGAAAACAAAGTTCCATGAGCCAAGGGAGAGGAGGTTTATCGCTGATTAGAAATAGCAGATTTTGCAGAGCTGTAAATTCAGGCAGAGGATCCCCAAATCAAACCTAAAGTTTTTCTCCATATGTGCAAACTCAGTTTTTAAAATTCATCTCTACTCCTGATATAATACTAAAATCTTAGCATTTAAAAACATTGTGACCTTTTACTAATGTGGCACTGAGCGAATCAGAGGTTAGGAGACAATATACCTATTTCAAAATAAAGGGAGCTAATCAGTTACTTAAACATGTTTAACCATTATGATTTTTCTCATCACTGTGTTTTTCTTTTCAAATTTTTTTTGGTTTGAGGTTGATATATCCATGGTTCAAAGGTAGAACACTTGCTGTTTATGATTGAAAGAGATGTCTTTTTTTTTTTTTTTTTTTTTGCACAGAAGTAAGGTTTATTTATATGTCGGTTTTTCTCAAAAGACAGACCCTGAAGTCTGTGTAATTTTGGCATTTTAAAAACAGGCATATAGAAATGTGAGTACAATCTAATGTTTCACAAAAATAAATTTCAGCATCAGAAAATGGATCACATAAAACGAGAAAACGGGTGAGATTATATCATTGCCATTCTCCTATAACGTAACTGTTACTCTAGCATTTTCATTGTCCCCAGTGGCGAGTTTTCTATGCGCCATTTCATACATCTGTCAGTTAAATCAGACTTTTAAAGTCAACACTCATATTTTAGGATTATACTAGGATTTTCAGTGCTCCCTGAGAGAGAGCTAGTCCCTGGAATTGAGCCATCTGTCAAAGAGAGTAACTTAACACTATTCCAAGTATGATTTGTAAAAGAAAATGTCCGTTTCTTTTTCACTTATTTGTATGTATCTCAAAAGATCAGAGAAATCCTTTTCAAAACTACTAATGAAGATCCATATGACAAGAATGGTCTTATAATATTTCCTGTACCAAAAGTGAACAGATGGTGATGAGGGGATCCATTTATGGTAAATGCTTTAAAAATCTACACAAGCCTTGCTTAAATGATGTAAGAAGGCATG